TCGATCCTAAGAAGGTATATGAATTTTGCTTAATTAATTTTTTTCGCAGTTTCTTTGAAAATGCTTCTGCAAAGACCGATAGTAGGTTCTCAAGTACCATTTTGCCCAGTAGACAAGAAGATGTTTGATTCTTGGTCACATATTGAACCAAATACATTCAAAGTTCACGGCGAGAACTATTTTAGGTACAAAAACAGTACTAAGTTGGTTCATAATTCCTGATCATAGAACATCTTCTTTCATATAGGTACATATGAAAGCAGATACACACATATATGCACAAAATACATATGTATATATGAATAAAGGCATGCAGAGCTCTGTAGTATATAATTCACATTGATGACTTGTCTGTGATATCTAAGTGCATTTCACATTGTCTGTGATATCTAAGTGCATTTCATATAGAAACTCTTTTTTGCTTTATGGCAAGGATAAAAAGAAGGATTTTGCTCCCAATTATGCCGCATATTATCCATTTTTCTTCTCTCTCTTACCCATTCTCCCTCTCCCTCTCCCTCTCCCTCTCAATGTTTCTGTTCATCTATGACATGTAGTTTGGTTTATTATATCTGATATATTTGCTCAATATTATTCATATTAGATATACAGCTTTATTATATCTGATATATTTGCCCAATATTATTCATATTAGATATACAGCTTTATTATATCTGATATATTTGCCCAATATTATTCATATTAGATATACAGCTTTATTATATCTGATATATTTGCCCAATATTATTCATATTAGATATACAGCTTTATTATATCTGATATATTTGCCCAATATTATTCATATTAGATATACAGCTTTATTATATCTGATATATTTGCCCAATATTATTCATATTAGATATACAGCTTTATTATATCTGATATATTTGCCCAATATTATTCATATTAGATATACAGCTTTATTATATCTGATATATTTGCCCAATATTATTCATATTAGATATACAGCTTTATTATATCTGTGGTCCTGTTTGGTAGCTTATAGAGTTGCTTATATATATATATATATATATTTTAAAATTTTAAAAATTGGCATTAAAGTGTTTTGATATATATTCTTCTTTTCTTATATCTTATAAAGTGAAAATAATTTAAATAAGTTGAAAAAATTTATTTTTTAAAAAGTTAGGAGAAATATATTTTTACTTCTATCTTTTTATTATTAATTTTAACTTGATAAAGGTGCACCAAACAAGCCCAATGTAAAACCTATTCCCCATTCTGTCTTTTGCTTCCCAATGGCAAGTGGTGTTTTAGATCATTTTGGGCCCTTTGGGGTTGTCTTAAGGGTCACCTCAAGAAGAATCCAAAACAGAACTACCTACCTATTGTAAAATGTTCAAAGAAAATAAATAAATATTTTTCTGTTGTGGTATGTGCACTGTGTAAATGGGATCTATTCTTGGCTTCTATCTCATTAAACTTCTTTTACTGTCTGCTTCATTACTCAAGATTTACATTAGATACTAAGTATTGAAAAAATTCATTTAAATGTCAAAAACAGTGAGTATTTTACATTTAAATGTCATCAAGAATTCAATTTAGCAAATTCACTTCACTTCAATTGCTCAAGTATTGTTTCACACTATGTTATGTATGAACCATGATTTCTTTTTGGTCATTTTTTAGTTATTTTTTCCATACACACCCTCTATATTTTGAATTAAGATTATTTGTTCTATGCTTATACAGAAAGCTTTATGCAGTCATATGTGATCCAAGTGGACCTCTTTATTTTTGCAGCCAAGGATATGCATATGGTATGAGAAGTTTCCAGATCTCAAATTCAGAGATTTGTTTCTTACATGAGAAAGTTGTGCAGGTAACAAAATAGAGAATACAGTCCCTAGTCTAGTGGTAGACTTCTTCAATGAAAAGTGTGCAAGACCGAGGAATTAGTGACTATTTAGGCTGCGTTTGATGTTTGGGATATGTCGAATTAGTGACTAATTTGTTTCTACATTATATCCCAAATTTGTTCAACTTGTGGTCTTTGGACCTTGTCTTTTTAAGGAATCAACTTCTTTTTCTTTTTCTTTTTCTTTTTCTTTTTCTTTTTACCGGATGAATTTTTCAGCTCTCTTGATTGTGAATCAATTTATGTCTTCATGTTGAATTTTTTGATCAAGTATTATTTTCTCTACGTGCTTGCAAAATTTGTTTATACTATATCTTTGCTGTGTTCATCTTTGATAATAGGTTGGTTGGTGCTGTGACAGTACATTGAGGAAGTGGCATTTGGAATTTATAATTCTTGTGACAGTGCTTGATGAAGTGTAATGCTTTGTTTAGCAATTTTTATTTTTGTTTTTTTGTATTGAGTTGCAAAATTGGAAAATGAATACGACTCATCTTTATTTTAAATGGAATTTAATTATTGTTTGATGATTTAGTGAAGTTACAAGAAAGGAAATTTGTTAATTATTGTTTCTAAGCTTTTTCTTTTTAAAATGTTATTGTTCCTTAATTGTGGTTGGGTTGAATGAATTTTGTATGATATTGGATTGAATGTTTATAAACAAAAATTGATTGTTCTAGAAAAAAAAAAGAAAAAAGATTTGGCGACTAAAAAATTGGTCGGCAAATTCTATACTTTTGCGACTAAAATCATTGGTCGGCAATTCCTTAACTTTTGGCGACTAAATTGTTAGTCGGCGATTCCTCGACTTTTGGCGACTAATTTGTTTGGTCGTAGAATGTGACAATTGGCAACTAAGATATTTGGTCGGAAAAATATCACTTTTTGCGACCAAAGTGTTTTGGCGACAAAATGGATTAGTCGCAGTAATGATATATTTAGCGACTAAAAATTTAGTCGGCAAATCTGACTTTTCCCAACCAACAAAAATTTTGGTCGCAAATCACTTTTGCCGACCCTCAATTGGCGACCAAAGTAGCGACCAAAAAAATTGATCACGGATAACTTTTGCCAACTAAAAATGGGCTTTTAGCGACCAATTTTTTGGTCGGCAAAAGTGTTAATTGTTGTAGTGATATGTTCGGGAGTTTAGTCCTGAAAAAATAATGAGCAATTTTTATTATTTTTACCATTTTTTTAAGAAACTTATTGTTACAAAGCCAATCTCTTCTGTGCAAAAAAGATCATCAAAGGTATGAACCTCCTCTAATCTTTAATTGTTGTACTTCTCTCATCTTGTGGAGTTGTGGTTACCTGAAAAACTTTCACTCATTGTTATTACCGGAGAAGTTTAGGTAATTAAATAATTGCCACCGTTACCGCTAGAATATTGCCTTTAAAGGGTTTTCAAGATTTTGAGGGTAGGTAAGTTTTGAAGATGGAATTTAGAGAAGATGGATGGATGGTGATAGAGTTGGGTGTTCTTATAAACCCTAAATCATGATGTAATTGGTGTGTAGGTTTAATTGTGAGATGGGATGTTCTAAGATTATTAATGTCTTTTAATAATTTCATTTGAAGTTGTTATTGTAATTAAAAAAAAAAACTAAAAAATGGGGTGTCCAACATAATTGATATGGTGCTAATATCAGTACTCTTAAAAATAGGAGGAATTACGAAAAAAGAAATTACACAAACATGGAGGAGTGTAAGTAATACTTGTATCCCACAACTTTTCACTTATATCGCATCACAAAATCACTTGCACCCTCCATATATTTGTAATTATATATTTTTTTTCTACTCCACCATTAAGTAATTTTCCCTTAAAAATATGTGTATTGTTCACACTAAAAAAATTGGACTCAATTACTGGACTCAATTATGGAGTAATGATATCAACGTTTAATTGATGTTTTTTATTATTTCTTTTCCGGCATTTTTATTTGCAAAGATACAGCTCTTTTCATATAATGTAAATTTCACAAAAAGAAAAAAATACTTTATGTGCGGGAGTTATGTCTAATTTTTTGATTAATTCTTATATTATTAAGCTATTATTATTATTTTTTACAAGAAAAAAAAAAACACAAAAAAGCGTACAAAAATTGTTATTATTTCATTTTAAAGATTGTTACTATTGAATTATGGTTAGTGTGCAGTAGTGACTATTTTAATATGGTTGGATGTACAAATTTTATCTAAAAGATTTGAGGTTGAATTTGGTAATTAAACTGTAAAATATATATATATATCGGTTGTATATGATCATTAATATTCGATTAATTTAATTTTTACATGAATAATTAACTCAATAATTCTTATAAGATAATTTATTCGGATCATAAAAATTGATACAAAGGTGTATTGCATTACTAAACAATACCCCAATTGTGCCTTGAGTACAACGACTTCACCCCCTTCAAACCCCTTTCAAGGAGACGTTATTTGGTGGTGTTGCAATAATACTCCACACATTTGTCATGTGTCAGATTGTCTCCAAATCTTCAATAAAAAATTTTGAATTCTATTATTTTAATTAAGAGTAATGTTAGGGATCATAAAAAAAATATCATAAAATGCATCATGAAGATTTTTCATCCTTTGATTAGTGTGTGGTGTTTTATTGTATGTTTAATTTAAAGGCGGAGAATTTTTCATGATTATTTTCATGACATTTTTTTTATAATCCCTGACATTGCTCTTTAATTAATAAATATTAAATTAGTGTGTCGTGTGAACTTATCTCAAGATCACTGAATAATTTCTCTTTTAAGAAAAAAGATCATTCGTCACATCCATTGCAAAAGAGCTAGAAAATGAAACTCTTCAAAGAGTGTATGAACAAAGGGAGATGTTACAATGTGCATTCTAAAAAATGTGTATATGATATGTTTTTCATAATTTTTTTACAAAATTTTATAACTTAAATTCAAAATGTCATAACTTTTTTATTACAATAGTCATAAATTTTTTCAATGAAAAAAGTCAAAATAAAATCTCAAAGTGTCATAACAAAAATCAACAATATTATAACATTTTCATTCTTAACTTTAAGATACACATTATAAATTTGTTATTCATAAGTTTATTAGAAAATGTCATTACTTTACATGGAACATGAAGAAATGCAAACAGAGAAGCTTTAACCTAAAAACTCTCTACCACTTTTGCTCGAATACCATGTTAAAACTATAATTATAATCACACACTGATGACAAAGAGATTGAATCAGTCTCATAGATCCTGCATGGTCCGCCACCCACGTAATTGGAGTTCTTCATTAGATATGCTACTACGCATCCCAACATGACTCCGGCAAGAACCTGTGCCACATCAAAGAAAATTCATTGCTGCTAAACTTAGTTTCTTTTATTTATGATTATTAAGGGAAAAAATATAACGAAAGCTCAATAAGCCATCTTGAGAATGATTTTCATTTTTTTCCCTTCTTGGTCGTGTTCCTTCCCTTTTGAAAATGGAAAACAAAGAAAGACCAACACACTGAGATCCACTAACAACTGTATTATGTGGCAAATTGCAAGCGAAGAAGATACAGTAAGCTTGTGGTTAATTTGTTTTCCAAGCAACATGAAAAATAAAAAAAAAATCTGGAACCTAATAATAGGTTGAGATTTGAGAGTCAATATTTAAAATTTCCTTTTCCTAGGATTCGAAATCAAGCACAGCATTGTGCTCCATCTAATTTGTGAAATCATTTCAAGGACAGCATTTATAATAAACCTAAAACCATCGATGCAGAAAAAAGAATGGTGTAAGACCGACCAACTGCTTAGCTATTTCTAAATGGAAAATAACAATGACATGAACAACAGTGGCAAGAAGTGTAGAATGGAGCATAATGCATACCACATATTTTCCAAAAGCAGTACTTTTTTCTATGATAACATAACAACTTTAAATTTCTTCCACACTTGGAAGACGAAATTTCTATAGGAGATTAACACAGAAGGTTTTAGCAGTCAAAACCTTTGTCAGAGGCCTATTTTGGATTCTTAGGTAGTCTTTGGTTCACTAGAATAATGAAATGATTAGTCCCCTTATAGAATAAGCATTCCTTGCAATGGTGAATGATATACCTTTTAAAATGTATCTTTTGTGACTTTTTTTAGTAGACCAAACATGAGAATAAACATTCTGAATTCCCATCACAAGATCATCAGATTTTACTACAGCACAAACTCATAGTACCATATCTTATCATGACCCTTATTTTAAATTCCAACTCAATTTCTTCAGAGCTTACATCAACATTTTATATTTATTAACTATCGTACATACGTATAATCAAGTTGAAAGTTTGCAACAAAAAGGGTTTCTTCGTGTAATTATGTACAGTATTACAAGTTCAATGAAAAAGAAAATTAAAAAATTGCAAGCTTGAAGAAATTAACATATAAGTACTTAGAACATAACGTTAACGAACCTGAAGAGGAGTATGCTCAAGTGAATCACGCAGAGGCCTGGAATTGGATAAAGGGTGTTCTGGAGGAAATTCACGTACAATTTTGTTCAACAACTGCAAATAGCATGGATTGAGAAAAACATAAGAACACAGTAACAAAAAATGTTTTATGCTCCACATCTATATCTACCTATTTACCTTCTTGCTTAAATTCTTGCATGCACAGTCAAATCAATAGTACACCAATATTCAGATTAGAATCGGAAAACTTATTCGAGTCTGAAACTAGATGAGAAAAAAGTTTAAACACAACAATAAACAATTATGGAGAAACGGAAGAAAGAAAAGGGAAGCTGCAGTGAAAGAAGAAAAACTCTCCTAGACCTCAAAATACGTAAAATAGCAAAACCACAACACTTTTACAGATGTCTACCTGTAATTTCAGTAACAGCCATGAGAGAGAAAGAGCTGAACCTGATATGCAGGCAAGCCTTATCATTCTTGGCAGGCTGAAGTTAACTGGTTGGTTGGCAAATTTAGTGAAAAAAGCTTTCATAATATTAAGCTTGCTTGGCTGCAATGATATATTGTGCCTGTTTGGCAGAAATTTTACATTTGACAGGAAAGGAATCAGAGAACTTTCAGAGGTCTTCGCAGAACCCCTTCTCTGATTTTGCAACAAATTAAGCATAATGTCAGGATTAGATCCTCTCAATTTCATGCAGTCAAATGCTCTGCTCTTAATTTTTCAGTTTGTAAGAATTGGAATATTTCCTTACGTTTTTTAGCATCATTAGCTGCTCCTCTTGTAAAGAAAGGAATGCCTTCCTTAATCATGTACTTATCCTACTTTTTCAGTAATAAATAGCGATCTTATCAGAAAACGCTAATACCCTAGTGAATTATGTATTGGTACGCACGTTCCGAAACATGATACATTTTCGTTCCAAAATGGTAAATTTAGTGATCCAAAGCGATCCTAATTTTTTTTTCTCAATATTTGTCTTTAAATGTTACCTTAGGAGGAAAAAAAATCAAATATATTGAACTAAAATTTAAGATGAATTAAATTTTGTCAAGATAAAAAAATCAAAAAAATAGGCCATAATGCTCTTAAAAAATATCACATTTTATTAGATGTTTAATAGTTTAAAAAAAAAATGGAAAATAATTGAGAGCACTAAAAGTGGTGCTCTAACAACATCACTAATGATGTGACAGTGGGCCCCACCCACTACCTATGCTTTGTTTTTTTTTTGGCATTTCTAATGCATTAGTGTTATCAGTAGTCTTTTTTTTAGTGGTATGAATCATTGTTGCATTTGATATATGGACCAATGTGTGGTGTGGTTCTAACTGTAATCAATCATTTATTTTATTATTATTATTTTTATGATAAGAGAGTATTTATCTATGTTACTTGAAATATGAATCGTTCCGGTATATGGAATGGAAATAGGAATGTGATACTCTACATACTCTAAAATGTGGTACAATAGAAGTAGACATGTATACTTAAGAATTTAAAGTACTTCTAGAATAATTTTTTTTAACAATGATTCATACCACTGAGAAAAAGACCACTAATAACACTAATGCATTGCGAATGCAAAAAAAAAAAAAAAAACAAGGCATAAGCAATGAACAGGGCCTACTGCCATATCATTAGTGGTGCTATTAGAGTACCACTTTTAGTGCTCTCAACCATTTGAGCACTCCTGCAAGTTGTCTGATGAACCCAATGCATAGTTACAGCAACCATCTAGTTCATTCTTAGAGACTTTTCCTAGTTTTTCTTTCCATGTAATAGCCATAACCACCGCATCAATTGGGACAAGGATTGGAAAAGCATTCAAACTCTATTTGTAAAAAGAGTTAAATGGATGGAGAAAAAGAAAATGTGACATTAAAAAACAAAATTCAAGATATTGAAGTTACGTAATTGAACAGGAAATTGAATTCGATTACATGGCAACAAAAGACTTCCAGTTCCTGAGAATATCTACCATAAGAATTAAAAGTTGAACAGCAAGTTCCCGATATAGATGGCAAAATGGGAAAAGATAAACAAAAAAGATCCTTGCTAGCAAAATCATCTATTGATTCAAACTTCTAGACATTTCTGAGCCTTTGGATGTGCCTTCCAAAGTTATCCATTCAAGTATCAGGCAGTACATATTGGCATTTATTACTTCAGGATATTAATGAAGAGAGGAAGGAAACTGTGGGGTGGATAACTTGAAAGAACAGCCAACTGGAAATTGTAAATAGAGATACAAAGCACCAATAGATCCTACTGTGGATAGATAAATGATGTCCGCAGCAATTAAAAATGAAATGAACAATGAAAAATACCAATGAGCACTGTGAGAGGAATTTGCACTGAGTAGGCGGGCCGAGCTAAGTCATGATTTGAAATGTCTTTGGGTCATGCAACCGGGCTGGTTCAGTTGAGCGTGGTCTTGGTCGAGGTCCTGGATTAATTCAATTGAGCTGGTCTAAGGTCTGGGAGTTGGACTGAACTATCTGTTGATCTCAGATATTGAACCAAGGCATCTATGATCATGCCTTCAACCGGGCTAGGCCCTTCGGCCGAGAACCATGATGGAACGAACGGAATTGGGAAAACCGAGCTAGTTATTGAGCTCGACCCTGAAGGTTGGCCGGAATTGAGGCTGGAACTAACAGGGCTATGCCTAGCTCGGTGGAAATTGCCAGGTGGTCCAATTGGAGTGCGAGAAGAGAAACCCGCTAATGGTGTGCGTCAATACCGTTTGGCAGTTTGGCCAATGTTGTTTGGCAGCATTGACGGGTACACGTTTAAAGAATAGAGAGGGCAGTACAGCTACACATCCAGAAAAGGACGAGCAAAGTAGCGTGCGTAGAGGCTATATAGATTGAGCGGCGCCTCCATACAACAGGTTTGAATTTCCGGCTACCTAGAGTTTTATCTCTCTTTTGTCTTCTCTCTCTTTCTTTCTCTACAAGGGTGCTAACTTGAACATCGAAAGGGATTTTTCGGCGACCACCCGTCAGGTAACTCACCGTCGTTGTGTTCTCAGGTTGCACAGCGTCATTCGGAGCAACGAAAAGCTTGGACAATAAGTACGGAAGCAAGAGAATATTTGCTCCCCGTACAATTGGCGCCATCTGTAGGAATTTCGACAGACAAAACCTTGTCTTCCAAACTTTTTTGATCAGCTTCAATGGCGAACAATGACGAGATTCCGCTATCTGCCGTTGACGGCGTCACTCCAGATTCTTTTTGGAGGCGAGGCGACCTGCCCGCCTTTCCAGCAATGGGTGGTTTGGAGACTTCCATGCCAAGCTCCGCACAAGGACTTCCCAGGGATGCGCGAGACGAGTGTGCAAGGAGTTTCGGGCGCTCTGTCATTCCAAAAGAGCTTCGCCAACGGCGAGATTCACACACTCAGCACTTGGAAGACAAGCTAAGAGACCAAGATACCATCATCAAGAAGATGGCAACGGAGATGGAGGCCTTGAAATGCCAGATAAAGGGCAAGGATGTAGCTGGAGTGGGAAACCACAGTGAGCATGCCCCTTCTTGTTGTTCCGGTAGTCGGAATAGATACCGCACTCCTTCTGTGACAACCCCGATCTCTGATTAACGTTAATCTATGATTAATTATGCTTGATGAGTAATTAAGAAGAAATACTCAATTAATTTTATATGCATTGCATCATTTTGTGATTATATCTGTTTGATGTAGAAAGATCTGTTATTGTTTGAGTTTCGATTTGCGAATTGGAGGCCTTATCGGCATCCGAACTAGAAATTGACTTGATTTATGTATTAATTAGGAATTATAGAATTTTATGGTGAGTTTAATCAAAATTCGATTTGGAATGATTAAATTAGATTAAATTTATGTCATTTGATTAGTCTTATTAAACCATCACTAAGGGAGCCTATATAAGGCCACTTTCACCACCACTTATACATTTTACACTCTCATTCACTCATCTTTGAGCACCAAACATGTGAGAGAGAGAAAGAGAGAGAGAGAGGGCAAGAGAGAGTTGATCAATACTTGAGATTGGAAGAAATTGCTTGAGAATTCAAGGAGATTGGCTTGGAACCTCAGGGAATTCACCAACCGGAGCTTCATTGAGAGTTTGAGGTAGGAGTTCCACCCTTGAGTAGCATATTATGATGTTTAGACAATAAATTCAAGAGAATTTAGTTGATTAATGCAAGGGTTGAGCTAGAGTGGATGAACTTGGGCCATATCATGCATGTATGCACTTTTCCTTGCATTTTATGTTGAATTTGAAGCAATTCTCTCATGCATGTCATCGGTTGAGCTTAGTTGTATGAATTCACCATGTTTTTCATCAATTTGCCAAGTTTGATCATGTTTTGAAATGGTGGAGCTCAACAGAATTCATGCATGTTATGTTCTTGGAACATTCATAATGATTAAGTTGAAATTGTATACATTTGGCATGCTCTTGGGCCCTGATTTCTTGAAATAATCCTTTAAACATGTTGTTTTATGAGTTTCTAAGTGTTCTCCAAAATTTTAGCTCAATAGGATGAGTTTTGAAGTGTTTGGTTTAAGCTTGAAGCTTGGAGATCAAATCTGGAAATTCCAAAATTTGAATCCACGCTCGAGCGTAGGAGTTCACGCTCGAGTGATCACTCTGAATGCATGCATTTTCACTCGAGCGACATGATGCCCGCTCGAGCGTGAAATGCACGTATTCAGAAGTTCACAAGTTTTGCAGCACGCTCGAGTGACAGAAGTCACGCTCGAGCGAGGGTCTGAGACTCACGCTCGAGCGGGGATCGAGCGTGAAAAACAAGCAACCAGTACTTTTATCAAATTTTACAGTCCGCTCAAGCGAGGAAATTCATGCTCGAGCGAACCTTCACTTTCTGCATGTCCGCTCGAGCGTGGACTCTAGTTTCAGCAAAATTCGAAAAATGTTTTCAAATGCATTTTTTTGCATCCTTATTCCTTCCTAGGCATTCCCAGGCCTTGATTAAGACCCTATATGAGGTTAAAGGTTAGAAACATGCGCATATTAAATGAAGCAAGTTGTGCAATTCGAATGTGTGTTTCATGTATGTGTTTGTTGTGTGTTAATGT